GACAGCAGATCTGACCAGTGAGTGCAGGCACGACTCAGACAAAAATGGGCAGGAAAACCCAGAACCCCTTGGTTCAGGGTTTAGGGTTTGGGGTTTAGGTTTTAGGGTTTAGGGTTTGGGGTTTCGGGTTTAGGGTTTAGGGTTTACCTAGAACCCTTGGGCCCTAGACACTTAAGCTCCTTAAGCCCTGAACCCTCAAGCCCTCAGCCCTTAACCCTTAAGCCCCTGAAGCCCCTTATAGAACCCTAAGCCCCTTAAGCCGCTTAAGCCGCTTAAGCCCCTTAAGCCCCTTAAGCCCCTAAGCCCCTTATGTAACCCTGAGCTCCTTAAACCCTGAACCCTCGAGCCCCTCAAGACCCTTAGCGCCTTAACCCTTAAGCCCCTTATGCCCCTAAGTCCCTTAACCCTAAGCTCCTTAAACCCTGAGCCCTTGAACCCCTAGAGATGTTAAGCTCCCCGGCTGCGGCTCAAGATTTGAGCCGCTGGCACCTGCTGGGGCGTAGTTTAGGGTTTAGGGCTCAGGGTTTAAGGGTTATTAAAGGTTGAGGGTTTAGGGTTTAGGGGTTTAGGGGGTAGGGCTTTCATGCTACAAATATTGAACACCTGGCGGGTTTAGGGCTCCGGGCATTAGGGTTCACGGGTTTCGGCGTGCTAGGGTTAAGGGTTTTGGTGGTTTTTAAGGGTTTAGGGGCCGTTGAGGATTAACTCACATGAGGTTTAGGGTTTGGGGTTTGAGGAATTTGGGGTTTCGGGCTTCAGGGTCTTTGTCGGGGGGGGTTGAAGAGCTTCGTGGGGGCTGGGGTTCTTGGAAGCATCACGCGAAAAGGGACCTGAGACTTTCAAGATGTACTGGCCAAGCGCACGAGGAGAAACCAGTTTGTGCCTCGAAAATTGATCTGCCGTGAAAGGACTATTCTGCAGCTGCGGACAATGTAGCGCCATAAGGATTGAACCAATTAGCCTCGCGTCTCATCGTGTGCAACCACAACTCCATATCCGGCAAACTTCCTGCACCCAGACTGTTGGGGTTCGGTCCTTCCTAATCGCTTCAGCAGGCGAAAGTGCTTCTAAACGGTTGCTGTGACACAAGCTTACCCCCAAACTACTGCTGCTCAGATGTTTGGGTGATTGAGCTCGAGGTTCGCAAACAAACCACTGCAAAATCCACCTCAAACACACGGGAAAAAATAGGGGCGTCCCTTTTGTAACCAAAATAGAATCCCCTCATTAAAGGGACCCCGAAAAAGGGTACCCCTGTTGTCGGACACCCCCATTTCAGGAGCAGGGAGCCAACCGCCCCTCTTAAACCCTAAACCCTAAACCCTAAACCCTAAACCCTAAACCCTAAACCCTAAACCCCAAACCCCAAACCCTAAACCCTAAACCCTGCCCTGGGGCCGGCCTTCCAGGCTTGCAGCGCGCGACCGAGTGGACTCAGCCCCTCGGGGCCCTTGAAAGAGCGGAAATAAAGGGGAGATCCTGCAAATATGTAAAAACCTGAAATAGATTTCTTAAAATATGTATTTATATATATAAATATGTATATATATATATATACATATATATATATAAACATAAATATAACACAACATCTACATATAAATATTAAATATGAATATATAAATATAAAGAAATATAAATATACAAATGTAAATATATAAATATAATTATATAAATATAAATATAAATACAACATGTATACATATATATATATATGACCATATATATATATATATAGTGTGTGTGTATGCATGCATAGATACACATATATATATATATACACATACCTGTACAGAAGAGGCCGCAGCAGGTTTGCTCTCCAGAAGAGCACATGTGAGGCCTATAATGGGCTTCGACATGGTGTCGGGGCGGGGGCTCGATATGGGACAGGCCGGAATCAGTTCGGGATAAGCTGCAGAGGTCCCACAACCCCACATGAAATTCGGGGGTGCCTTCTTGGGGCCCTTGCTCTAGGGGAATCCTACTATTTTTGGGCTCTATATTGGCGTAAACCCCCTAAACCCTAAACCATGAACCCTAAAGCCTGAACCCTAAACCCCTACTTGCGGGTCTTGATGGGGGGGCCCCTATTTTCGGAAACCCCCACCATCCCTTCAGCGGCCCCGGCCGGGTCGTTCAAGATCTGCCACTGGCTGGCGCTGCGCGAGGCCTCGGTTGCGTTTAGGGTTTAGGGTTTAGGGTTTAGGGTTTAGGGTTTAGGGTTTAGGGTTTAGGGTTTAGGGTTTAGGGTTTAGGGTTTAGGGTTTAGGGTTCAGGGTTCAGGGTTCAGGGTTCAGGGTTTAGGGTTTAGGGTTTAGGGTTTCGGGCTTAGGGTTTACGATTTAGGGTTTCGGGTGACTTTTGCAAGGGGGTGCGCTGAGAAAAGGTCTCAATCACAGAGGGCAGGCAGAGATTCCCCCCAAACTCTCTGAGTGCCTGGAACTTGAGATGTTCCCACTTATACTAAACAATCCTTTATAAGGATTCGAATAGCAGATACTTTCATAGGGATTAGAGTAGGGTGTCCTAAAATCCCTATGAAGGACTGCTAGTATAAGAGGGAACATCCCGACCCGGAACCCTTGAACCTCAAGCCCGAAACTGTCCGTAAAACCGGTACTCCTGGGGCTCACGCTGCGCGGCATAGCGTGGCTACGGACACGACCTGAAGAGCAAATCCCCCCCCCCCCCCCCCCCAACCCCCAAGACAAGGGAACCGAAACCCTAAATCCCTTAAGCCCCTAAGCCCCTAAAGACCCTAAACCCCCTGAACCCCCTAAACCCCTAAACCCCTAAAGCCCCTAAACCCCTAAAGGCCCTAAACCCCTAAAGCCCTGAACCCCGGACCCTAAACCCTGGCCCTGTACTTCCAAGCAGCCCGGTACTATCCACCTGAAACTGATGCTAAACTCAACCCTAAACCCTAAACCCTAAACCCTAAACTCCTGCACCTCCATTGAGAGGTTCTCAATGGGGGTCTTATCCCATCTGTCGGGCACCCCCTCCAACCGCATCCCAGAGCCAAATGGCAAGGTTTAGGGTTTAGGGTTTAGGGTTTAGGGTTGAGGGTTGAGGGTTTAGGGTTTAGGGTTTAGGGTTTAGGGTCTGCAGAACTACTTAGTAGTTTACGATGTTCGGGGTACCTTATTGGTTTATGATGAGGGGATCCTGCTATTTTGGGGGGTCGATTTTCGCGGTCCCTTATTATCGTAAAACCCACTTACAGCTCGACGATGTTCCCCAGAAGCCTCAAAGCCGGGGAATCTCTTCATCGCCCTATAAACCCTATAAACCTTATAACCTCTATAAAGCCTAGAAAACCTACTATGAACCCTAGAAACCTTCTAAACCCTATAAACCCTACAAACCCTACAATGTCCTAGAAACCCTATACGCCCCACAAACCCTAGAAACCCTGAAGCCTGAAACCCTCAACTCTCAACCCCCCGCTCCCCCTCCCTCCTAAACCCTAAACCCTAAACCCTAAACCCTCAACCCCCTAAAACTGCCCCCCGGCCTCTCCGTGGAAAGCAGCGATGTGGAGCCTGGGAGCTTGAAGGGGGATTTCAGGGTTTAGGGTTTTAGGGTTTTAGGGTTTTAGGGTTTTAGGGTTTAGGGTTTAGGGTTTAGGGTTTAGGGTTTTGGGTGTAGGGTTTTGGGCCCTTATTGTAAGAGGGATCCTACTAGGTCCTACTACTTGGGGGTCTATTTGGGGGGGGGGTCCCCAATTATCGTAAGCCCCCGATTGAGGGCGTTTTTCCCTCCTTTTCCAGAGGCCTCCCGCCTTGATCGGGGTGCGGCTGATTAGGGTGCCGGGTTCCCTAAACCCTAAACCCTAAACCCTAAACCTTCAACCCTAAACCCGAAACCCTAAACCCTGAACCCTAAACACTAAAACTCGGAACCCTGGTCCACGGTTGGAGCCCTTAAACCCTAAACCCTAAGAGTTTCAGGCTGAACGCCGTGCTGGTATAGAACTCTTCCTCTGAGACTCCTCATCTCAGAGATCTTCGGGCGTAGGGCTTCAGATTTCTTGGAAGGGTTTAGGGCTTCGTGGGTTTCGGGCTTAGGGGTTAGGCTTTCGGGTTCAGGGCTTCGGGGTCCGTAAGCCTGAAGGCCCCTAATCGGGCTTTCGGGGTTTTGGGGGCTGTAGGGTTGAGGGTTGGGAGTCCCTAAGAGGCATTAGAATGGGGGGTAACCAGGTTGGCCCTGGCAAAACCCTCTCAGAGATACGATATTCCTCTTGAACCCAAACAGGTGGAAAAGATCTCAAATGTTCAAGAATCCCAAGGGCCTACCTAGGTAAACTTATACAAGTCCTCAAGTCCCCCCCCCCCCCCCCCACCAAAAACCAAAACTCTACACCAGCCCAAGCAAAGACTGGGGTTCTCATTCCACATGGGTACACATGCGAGGGGTTTCAACCTGAAGCCTTAGGAAGTTATCAGGGTTTAGGGTGTAGGGTGTAGGGTTTTGGGTTGAGGGTTGCGGCTGAGGGGTTTAAGGGTTTAGTAAGTCTAGGGTTTAGGGTTTCAGGGTGCTCGGGAATGGGAAGGCGGGGCCCTGCGATTTCTTCGCTGCACGGACAGCTTCGCTAAGCAAAGGTTCCGAACCTCTGGCGCCCTCGCTTGGGCTCGAGGCCGATTGGGTTCGTGGGTCCGGGGTCTCAGGGTTCAGGGTTCAGGGTTCAGGGTTCAGGGTTCAGGGTTCAGGGTTCAGGGTTCAGGGTTCAGGGTTCAGGGTTCAGGGTTCAGGGTTCAGGGTTCAGGGTTTAGGGTTTAGGGTTTAGGGTTTAGGGTTTAGGGTTTAGGGTTTAGGGTTTCACTGAGGCCTTTGTACGGGCCATGTAGGCCTTCTGGGGTTTTGCGGGGTGTTTCATCTGACTGGCAACCACTCGGATGCGTCCTGACGTTCGTTTCATAGAGGCATAATCAGCTGCTATGGCAACCTAAACCCTAAACCCTAAACCCTAAACCCTAAACCCTAAACCCTCGGCCGGGTCAGGCTTCGTACATGGCCTGCTTGGTGTCGAAGGACTGGCCTCGGCGTGGGTTGGGCGCTGAGGTGGGCCTCTAAGGGACATGGTCCCTTTCATAAGGGCTTAGGGTTTAGGGTTTAGGGTTTAGGGTTTAGTGGCCCTTAAAAGGGGACCCCCTTATGTACCCCATTTTTTTCCCCTCTTAAGGGCCCATGGAACTACCCTTGGCCGGAAGGCACCGACACCTATTCGCCCCTAAGCCGTGACTTTACATGTCGGCGGCAGAAATATCGGTCGTAGGCGCCCTGCAGTTTCGCCTACACCTCAGACCCCAGCAACTGTATCCATTCACCTACATCTATGGGTTTCGGGCCCCCGAAGCCCTATAAACCCCATAACCCTGAACCCTCCTAACATCTCCACCCCCCCTTCCTCAACCCCAGATTTAGGGTTTAGGGTTTAGGGGGTTTAGGGTTTAGGGTGTAGGGGTTTAGGGTTTAGGGTTTAGGGTTCAGGGTTTAGGGTTTAGGGTTTAGGGTTTAGGGTTTAGGGTTTAGGGTTTAGGGACCAACCCCCAAGCTAAGCCACGGAGGTTGTTGAAGGGGCTGGCTGTGGGCTCGATGTACGGGGCGACTTTTGCCTTGGTTGGGCAGCCGCGGATGCTCGGATGAACTCTTGCAAGAGCAGAGAACACCCTGAACCCTGAACCCTAAACCCTAAACCCTAAACCCCCCAAACACCCCAAACCCCTGAACCCGAACACCCCTAAGCCCGAACAACTCCAACCATCACAAAACGAATGCCTGGAACCTGAACTTCGAACTCTTCGGCGAATCTACAACTTCAGACTTCCCGAAAGGCGCAAGGCTACCACAAACCTCCAGATCTCTTGGGCCCAAAGGGCGGCCCCAAGGTCGTTTAGGGTTTAGGGTTTAGGGTTTAGGGTTTAGGGTGTAGGGTTTAGGGTTTAGGGTTTAGGGTTTAGGGTTTAGGGGAGGAGGATTTGTGCCAGAAACAAAGATCTACAGACGATGCATTAATCTATGTCCACATGCTGTATGGGACTCAACAGCATGACCAACTTCCTCGGAGGACGATGCGCCATCAACACCGGCTATGTGTCTTCTTGCCGGGTCCCGACCATGAAAGTATGCGGTTTTTGGTATTTGGATTTAGGGTTTAGGATTTAGGGTTTAGGGTTTAGGCCTTGGGGTGAGGGGAGTGCAGCAGCAAAAGGTCGGGTTAGCCGCACTGGTCCAAAGCAACCGCCCGCCGCCCCTGGATGCCCTTTACTTGGAGATTCAGGGTTTAGGGTTTAGGGTTTGGGGACAACCTCAGTATTATAACTGTACTTGTAGGCCCCCTTAAGTCCTCTAAGTAGATTAACAATAGACTTATCATTGGGGTTCTTGGTACCCATGAGCCTCAGGGCCCCCCCCCCCCCCCCCCAATTTGCCAATGGCGATCGCGGCGCCGCCGCTGCATCGAGGGCTGCGACTTCGTTGCCCGTGAGCGCCAGAGAAATCGCCCGGATATTGTCCTCAAGGCAATGAAAGGAGGTAGGTGGCTGCAGATTCCCGGCTCAGGGCGCGCAGCTTGCGACTGCTTAGTGTTTAGTGTTTAGTGTTTCGTGTTTAGTGTTTAGTGTTTAGTGTTTAGTGTTTAGGGTTTAGGGCTTAGGGCTTAGGGTTTAGGGTTTAGAGCTTAGGGTTTAGGGTTTAGGGTTAGGGTTTAGGGTTTAGGGTTTAGGATTAGGGTTTAGGGCTTAGGGCTTAGGGCTTAGGGTTTAGGGTTTGGGTTGAGGTTTAGGGTTTAGGGTCTTCTAGGGTACGTCACGATAAGGAGGCCCGCAAGGGGTCTCGCGGGACTCTTCGCAGCCCAGGGAGACTGCGCTTGCAAGAATGAGGTTTCCTCCATACCGCCGAGATGCTTTTTGTAGGAAAGCCCACCATGTTGAAGTATGGTTTCTTGCTAGTGCCCCCAAAAAGACACCCCTCTTACATTCAGCAACAATGACCAGCATCCTACAACAAAAAGGGGCGGTTATGATGTCGCAGCTCATGGACCCAAAACATGAAGATTGTGCGAGAACGATCAAAACGGCTGAATGTAATTGATTACTTCTTAATTACTACTTAATTAGTACTTAATTCAAAATTTTATGAGTACTTAAATCGTAAATACTCATCCTAATTTCGGGGCCTGGCGAATTTAGATTACCTATGTAGGGGTGGCGACGGGAAGACATGGGCAACTGTTCGGGCTCCTGAAAAAATAAGGGTTTAGGGTTTAGGGTTTAGGGTTTAGGATACAGAAAACATGAAAGGCCTACCTAGGATTCTTGCTGCCCCAGCGACGAGAATGGGCGCCCCCAGCCTGAAGCCCTCATCAAGCCCACCCTCGAGCGAGAGCACCGAAGACTTTAACCCTTTGAACCGCAAGACCCTACCAGCATGGGCCATTATACCCCATAGCCCCTTGAACAGGCCCTTTCTAGGGTTGATTGTGGGGATTATAGGGCCTCATCGCCCATCCTGGTATCGGCCCTCTGTTCCCTGGCGCGTCCTCCGCTTGACGGACATTGCGTACACCTGCGTGGCTTTCGCCGAGTTTAAGGTCTGGGGCATTGCGGGCGGAGCAGTGCTTTGAGCAGCCCCGCCAAGGAATGCTTTGCATATGCCACAGCCAGCAGCAGAGCCTCATACATCTGCAAGCATGAAAAGGCACAAGAACCACATGAACCTGTGAACATATCGGCACCTGCGGTACGGTCTCTTGGGACCCGGTTGAGGTCAAAAGTCGGGGTTCAGCCTTGTTTCTTAACAGACGAAGCTTGGGTGGCTCTTCTACCTTGGGCGCCGGTGCAGGCCCCCCTGCCCGGGTCGCCTCAGAAAACGGTCCCAAGCAGACGCCACAAGGACAGTGCAGACTTGGGTGGGCGCCTGGGATTGGTGTCGTGCCCTTGGCGATGCACCAGGCGATGGCCACCTGTGGACGTAGCGCATGGAGGCCAGGGGCTTCGGGCTTTGCTTTAGGCTGTTGCTGGAGCTTTCTCTAAACGCATTGTTTACATGTTGACTCAGGAAGGGCTTGTTTCATGGTGTATCCTGATTAGTGTGCCCCCCCACCCCCCCGGAATTGTGAAAGAAAAATCCAAAAGAGAAAAACTATTCAGGGGGGTCTATTTGAGGAGGTCCCCCGGAGTTGTGGAAAACAAATCGGGCGATGCAAAATTTCGGCGAGGCTGTTGAATAGAGTTGTTGTCTAGAAATCGCTTCTGAAGTGAGCCTGAGAGACCAAAGATCTGAGCCTGAGCAAAGGTTTAAAGCTGAAACCTTGAGGCCTGAGGTTGTCGGAAATCTAAAGTCTCCAGGCCAGCCCCAAAGCTAAGAGTTCCTTATAAACTGCCTTTGTACCGAGGCGAGGCAATCAAATTTCAAAGGGGGTAGTCCAGCAGCTGCCCGAATGACGTATAATATGTAAAACGTTTGGTCCCCCGGGTTTTTTGCGCGCTGGCTTGGTTGGCATTCATGGATCCCCTTTACACTCATATAGATTCATCCCTTTTAAATCATGTGGATCCATGTTACCATCATATGAATCCCTTCTAAAATTCATATAAACTCGTCCCTCTTAAAATCGATGGATCCCTTTTAATGTCATACAATCTCACCGCTTTTAAAATCATATGGACCCCTTTGAAATTCATACAAGCTCATCCCTTTGAAAATTATATGGATCCTTTTAATATCATATAAGCTCATCCCGTTTAAGATCATATGGACCCCTTTGAAATTCATATAAACTCATCCCTTTTAACATCATATAAAGCCAGACCCCCCCCACCCCCCACACAACAGGGGGGAGGTCCATTTGTTGGCGGGGGGCGGGGGCGTCACACTAATCAGCAGACAACATTAAGTTGAGTTGAAACGGCACGAGCACGCGTCTACCCGCGCGACCGCCCACCATCCCACAAAGGCACCTACACCCTTGCATACCTACGCATCAATGAATCGGTCTACGCACGCTCACATTGCGCACACCATGGGACCACCAACCCACGTGCGACCACACGCACATCAAGCGCGAGGCAGATGGCATCTCCATGAAAGATTGAACGATGAAGTTGCAGGGGGGGCTTCCGAAGGCCTGGGAAAGCGTCGTGTCGGCGCCATGCTGCTTCGCCACGTCCTCTCTTGATGCCCACAGCCCATATAGTGAGGCAGCGGGCGCTTCAGTTCAAGGAGGGGTTGAGGAGTCCCTATGGTTGGGGGCAGAGACATTAAACTCTAAACCCTAAACCCTAAACCCTACACCCTAAACCCTAGGTTTCAACCCACTCTATTTTGCGAAAGTCTGCTGTGAAGCCCATCCCGCACCCACATGCTGCCTGCACCCTGCAGTTTACCCAAAGGCTCCTGTGCAGTCCCTTGAAGGGGTGGTATCCTGGAGTCCCCTAGAACTAACCCCAAAAGGGGTAAAAGTCTACCCCATAGCAATCTGCTGAGCTCGGTGGACATGGGGAGGATCTGCGATGCGTGGGTTTGAGGGTTCACGCCAGCACCCGAGAAGCTATGCTATGCCTAGGGCCCCTAGCCCTAAACCCTAAACCCTAAACCCTAAACCGGCTCGAGATCCTTCATGGCATCCAACAGCAGCGACCAGTTGGGATCCTTCCTTCGCTGCTGGGTTCGGAGATTTCGGACTTCCTTCTGGGAATGCTGCTATTGGGGTTTAGGGTTTAGGGTTTAGGGTTTAGGGTTTAGGGTTTAGGGTTTAGGGTTTAGGGTTTAGGGTTTAGGGTTTAGGGTTTAGGGTTTAGGGTTTAGGGTTTAGGGTTTAGGGTTTAGGGTTTAGGGTTTAGGGTTTAGGGTTTAGGGTTTAGGGTTTAGGGTTTAGGGTTTAGGGTTTAGGGTCTAGGGTTTAGGGTTTAGGGGGAAACCCGAACCATAGTTTGATATGACTTTCCGGCCGGGCCGCATCTCAGATTCTGGTTTTTGGGAAGCGCATGATGGAAAAACGGAATCCGAGGCTTTTGCAGCGCACGAAACAAAAAGCAACCATAAACCCTAAGCCCCCAAACCCGCGCACCCGCGACCCCAAAATGCAGCACAGGTTCAGCAGCTTTGTGGCAATCTGACCCCTCGGGCCCTCGGGCAAGGAAGTCTCCGTCCACTTCCCTGTGAGCGCACCTCAGCGGCCGCGTCGCGCGCTCGTTGGGGGGTTCTTAGGGTTTATAGGGTTTGCGGGTTTTGCAGGGGCTCAGGTTTTTAGAAAGGGTTCAAGGGGCTCTGGGTTCATAAGGCTGAAGGTTCTGGGTTTACACCTAGGGAACTTGCCAGACTTGCTCAGGGCACTGGACTCTGTGAGAAGGTATCGGGATCTGGGGGCTCTTGAACGTAGCGGGTCGATGAAACGCCCTGAGGCAGTGCTTGACAGTAGAGAACACAATTATGCATGCATGTGCACACGCCTCCCCCCCCCACCCGCGCCCTGAAAGAAATAGTAAATCTTGTCAGCCCCTTAAGTTGGGATGTTCCCCCTTATACTAACAGTCCCGATTAGGGATTCTAATACCCCCTCATGATAATCCCCATTAAGGACTGCTAGTACAAGCGGGAACATCCCAAACCCTAAACCCTAAACCCTGAACCCTAAACCCTGACACCTGAACCCTAAACCCTGAACCCTGAACCCTGAACCCTAAACCCTAAACCCTAAACCCTGAACCCTGAACCCTAAACCCCTCGAGTCCAACGGCTTGGGGCTCCCTACCGAGTCCCAGGGGGCTGTAGGCCAAAATCTTGACGCCGAGCTCATCGCAGGTGGCCTTCATGCCGTTCCTCGGCTTTGGGCTTCGGGTTTCGGGCTTCGGGTTTCGGGTTTCGGGTTTAGGGTGGTTTAGGGTTTAGGGTTCAGCATCTTAAGTTCGAGCACTTTATAGGCCAGCAGCGTGCGTAGGCAACGGAAAGAACCCTGCCCGCCCAAAGACTTCCATAACATTACGAAAATAGAAAGTTTATTCATTTCTTTTCGGATGCACCAAGAGGCCAAGCAATCACACAGACCCCTGAGTCAGTCCTGTGCCCTGCTGGCTTCGTGGCTCTGCTGAGCTGCAGAGCCTGCCAACCGCACTGAACAATGGGGGGGTCAAAGGCGTCAGAGGGCCAAAACGGATCAAATTGCCACCAAACTAAACTGCCAGGTTCCCCGTGACGGCTGTCCTTTCTCATCTCGGCCTGTATGCTTGCAATGGCTATGCCTCTCAGCGGCGCAAGCGCGCACGCATACGTGGACGCGGGGGTTCAAAACTAAGCTCTGGGCCCACCAAATGTGGACGGGCCGCTAAAGTTTCTTCGGCCCGGTCCGCCATCTCGGTCACCTCTTGCTTGAAGAATCGCTTTGGACTGCCTCAGTCAACAACACTTCCCACTACTGAGTTTGGGGCTCGGGCGGAAGCTTGCTTGCCTGCCGACTTCTGAGGTTGCGGGCGTAAGGGCCGGGACTGAGGTCGCAAAGAACATCGGTCAGAGGGGCTAACTTTGAAAATGGGGATGACTGGGACGGCGGCAGGGTGAAAGCGCGGCTTCTGGCTCCCGGAACTAAGCTGCTTCAGGGCACGGTTTTAAGGTTTCAGCTACATGCTGTTTTCTTGTTTTTTTGTTGGGGGGGGGGGGGGGGGGGGGCGATGGATTTGGTTGCTTATTGATGATGGTTTGTTAGGTGTTGTTCGTGGCTGGTTACCAGCCACGCAGCCACATGGGCCTGCTTGCCGCTTGCCGAGCCCAAACGCTCACTGCCACTCTAAGCCCGAATCCCGTTACTCTTAGTATCCCCGTTGCTTCTTTGCCTCTAGGTTACATCCTGGGCTGAACTAAATAGGGTCGGTGTAGGAGTCCTGATTCCAGCGTCGCGTCTGTTTGGCGACCCCGGGCCCCAAAGGCAACCCCCCAATCTCCAGCTGAGATCGGGGGGGTTGCTTTTGGGCCATGTTCCCGCCCTCCTGAGCCCAAAAGCATAGAAGCAACCTGCAGAAGATCTCAACCAAACACTGTCGCAGCACACGCATCCTTTAGATCATCCGTTTTGCTTCTTTTTTTCAACATCCTATATGGAGCAGGCGGTTGTTACCGTGCTGTCAGGCGCACGCTGCGCCAGCCGGCCGAAAAGGGCAAGGCTTTTTCACGTCGGTTTGTGCCTCGCGGAGGGATGAGTCATAGATGCCCGATCGGAAATTCCAAGGACGGCGCGAGAACTGGACGCACTCTCTTTGGAAGGACGGTGGTTCGCATTCTCCTCGTGAAGCTTATCATCGCGCGGCTGCTGTGTACTTTGAGCATCAGACAAAGCGGAAGCCCTGAACAACTTCTTCCCCTATATATCGGGCCAACAGATGTTGACCCCAACCGACGTTCGTCATCGGCGGAGGCAAGGAGAACACGTGACAGCATACGATTGCCTCCATCCTTGTGAGAACACTTTTCTGCCTCATCAGGTTCGACGTGCCAAAATCTGGCCAAACAGCTTGCGAAACTGAACTCCTCAGGATGCGGCCCACCACTTCGAAGGTTTGGTTGATTTCGAGGCGCGGGGCATTCATATTGTCGAAGGTGACGAACGGGCCGAAGTTCGCATCGGAGGACGGCATGCGGCTGGGGTCCGGGCAGTGGCTGGCCCCCTTGCCCCCTTGAAGCCACCTGGCGAAAGCTGACATGAGGCCAGCCGGCAGCCGGAGCCTTCCTCCGGGCGGCCTCCTCGGGGGGAGCGCCCCCTGATGGCTGCGGCCACGTCAGGCAGCCACACCGACTGGCTAAAGCACGGGTGGCGCTGCATTTGCTGTTCGACGCCATCGCAAGCCGAGTCCATGAACTTCACCATGACACGTGCAACTATGCCTGAACAATGGGGGGGAACAGTGGCGGGTCAAAGGGTCAGAGGGGCCAAAATTGATCAAATTGCCAAATTCGTGCTGAACAATGAGGGGTCACAGGGGTCAGAGGGGCCAAAATGGATCAAATTGCCAAATTCGTCCTGGGCAAATGGATCAAATTGCCTGATTCGTGCTGAACAATGGAGGGGCCAACGTGGATCAAATTGCCTAATTCGTGCTGAACAATGGGGGGTGAAATTGATCAAATTGCCGATGCTTAACATTTAGGGTCATATGGTAGCGAGGTTTGGGGTTTAGGGTTTAGGGTTTGGGACTTAGGGTTTAAAGCCCTAAACCCTACAACCCCAAACCCTAGACCCTGCTAAGCCCACTTTAGAGCCTCAGCCTACCCTAAACCCTTCTGAAACATAAAATTCGGACCCCGGCTTTTCCTTGCCACCACCCCTTGAAACCCGAAAAACGTTCGGAGACCCGAACCATCATTTGGAATGTTCGCTGGGCTGATAGGGTTTGGGGTTTAGGGTTGAGGGTTGTTAGGGCTTAAAGGGTTTGGGGTTTAGGGTTTCTAGTTGCTAGGGTTGAGGGTTTACGGCTTATGGGGTGTAGGGTTTGGGCTCTAGGGTTCAGGATTGCTGTCAGAGCTTCTGGGTGCAACGGACAACCAGCAAGGACCACGAAGACCTGAGAAACCTTGCGATGGGATCTCCCCCCCACCCTGCCAACCGATGCAAGCAAAGCCGCTAAACCTCTTGTCTCCCTACAGCACTGATACACAACAAATATGAGCCGAGACACAGTTCCGGAAAGCGGTAGACCAAGCTATACCTGAGGCTGCTTGCTGTTCCCAATAATGAACCCTGCTACCAGTCCCTGTGTAGCTACCTGGATCATAAACCCTTGTAGGGTTCATTTGGTCCACTGGTTCAGCCCTGGAAACCTCAAATGTCAAGGATGCAAATATCTTCTCCTCCTGCGTCGGGCCTCTTAGCTAGAAATTGTGCACCTGAGCAGCAGGCGTTGTGCAACAACCACACACACACCTGCCTGAACCCAGAACACACCAGCATCCGAACTGCCAAGACCTTCCGCAGCGACTCTCAAGGGCCACAGACCCCTCGATCTTTCGGAACAAGCATGGTAGAGGTCGTGGTAGAAACTCGTACTTGAAGGTTCATGGGTACTTATAAGTGTGGTTGTAAGTAGGGTAACTGTAATTATACTTGGTTATGGGGTACCTATAACCCTAGTTACAACTACCCATGAACCTCCAAGTAGTAACAGCCACAAGCAATCTTGGCTGTTAAATTTTTAGCGGCCCTAGTAAGAAACCCAATAAACCCAGAAAGGCTAAGGATCTAAAGTTACAGTAAAGCACCACAAAGCAACCCTAAACCCTAAACCCTAAACCCTAAACCCTAAACCCTAAACCCACGTGGTAGTCGTCGTGCCCGGCGGCTGGATCTGGTTCGAGGTGAGCGGGATGCCGCGGGCAGCCAGGGTCCTGCTGATGGCGCGCACCGCCTCACTTCCTTGGCGCTTCTTCGGAGGGTTTAGGGTTTAGGGTTTAGGGTTTAGGGTTTAGGGTTTCGGGTTTAGGGTTTAGGGTTCAGGGCCCGGAGGGCTGTGGAAAAAACTGAATAATTTACTGTCATTCTGATCAGGGTGATATGTATGGTTACAAGGACTATGCTCTCGACTCCCTTTGTCTTCGCGAACCCCCGCGTGTCTCCCTGTCAACTTTGCTTCCCAGACTTCTGCTTCACCAAGGCTCCATAGTTCGACACGCCCACTGCCTGAGACGCAAGAGACAAGAGAGTCAGCTCATGAGCCGGCACCTTGTACGCTCAACCTGCACCGGACCTCCAAGCCACCCCATAACCTTAAACCCTAAACCCTAAATTGTTAAACCCTAAACCCTAAACTTCTGAACCCTAAACTCTAAGCCCTAAGCCCAAAACCGACATTCCAGCCCTCAAGTGGGGCGGTCTCCGTCCCAAAGTAAAGAGCACCGAGCCTTGGTTTCCAGAAGGCAGTGCCTCAACCCTAGTTATTCCCCATTTTACCCGGCATATGTAGATTCTGTGCCAGAAGCCCTATGAGATTTGTCAATCCTATAGCCCTATAAACCCCTTCACATATCAAAAGCCTGCGTATATGAACCCCTATAGAACCCCCCATGAGCCGCGTCTCAACACTGCAAGCCCTCTAAGCCCGAAAGTGGGCACCAGGGGCCCGAAAGAGTATATGAATACAACTGTACATTTCTCAATGTAAATACACATATCAACATATAGATACAGAAACGAAAAAATGCACATATATATATATATAGACACACATATATATATATATAGACACATATATATATATATATACATTTTCGTAGATATATATATATATATATGTACATATCATGTGTGGGATGGAAGGGTACCGGTACGTAGGCCGAGCCTAGGCCAGAGCACCCCCCATATAACCTCCCCTCCCCTCCCCCCCGACCAAAGCACAATGTGGCTGATTCTACAGCTTCTCTTGGCCTTCAACCGCCAAACTCTGCAGCTATCTACAATCTACACCCCAAGAAACCCCAACCCTGCCGGCTGCACACCTTGACGAGACCCTGGTCAAAGCAGTCTGCCAAGCCGTCCCAGAAGACCTGGCAGGGTTCTTGTGGGCCTTCCGGCTTCAGGGATCTCGATACCCTTCCTTGCAGAACCACAAGCCCCGAAGGCCCAAGTCCAGAAGACAGCAGAGGGAGGGCGCCGAACCGCAAAGCCTCTGCAACTTCCACCCTCTTCAGCCCCCCCCCCCCCCGCGGAGGCCTCATTCTTCCACACCTTGTTGAGGGTGCTGAGTTTTCAAAGGGTAGGGAGTACAGGTTCGGTTTTTGGTGGATTTGCATACTGGGCTCTGCAGAAGTCGTGGTGAGTGCATGTTTTTGGGGCGTATTGGGTGTGTCCTTTTTGGATACCAATTTGAGTGATAATCTTCGTACCCTAAACCCTAAACCCTAAACCCTAAATCCTAAACCCCAAACCCTAAACCCGTATACCTCATATGTCCTCTTGAAAGGGGCCCAAGCTCCAGGAAAAGTTGGCCAACAGCCGGGTGGAGGGGGGTTTAGGGTTTAGGGTTTAGGGTTTAGGGTTTAGGGTTTAGGGTTTAGGGTTTAGGGTCTCCCCCCCCTTTGAGGCCAGCACGGATGGAAAGTGGATCTGGTAGAGGTCGATCTTGTCCATGCCTGGTGGCACACTTCATTGGTGCCTCATGCGCTTGTCGGGTCGCCTTCGCCTCTACCCTGAAAGTCTGCAGCTCTCATTCCGATGGTCCGTCAGAGGCCCCGAAGCCTGCCCATGACCTCACAAGTCCTTGAAGGAGGGTTCCCAAGTTAGAGGTACCTTACCGGGGTCCTTCTTACAAGAGAATCCTACCATTTCTATACTCCCCTTGGAACCTTAATAAAAACAATATGTTTAATATCCTCTTGGGTTTTATACAAACAAAAAATTCAAAAAAACAAAAATGATTCCCAAGGGGGATATAGATTTGGGGGGCTTTTTTTACTCAGGGGTCCCCCTGATCTCCGTAAACCTCCACCAAGGAGAGTCCCCTAATGTGCAGCTCAGGTGCCCAGCCTCTCCAACGATCCCTTGCACGCCTGCGGATATCAGGTTTAGGGTTTAGGGCTTAGGGTTTGGGGTTTAGGGTTTAGGGTTTAGGGTTTAGGGATGTAGGAACTGTAGAAGGCGCGAGAGTTTCTGTCAGCAGGGGGGCGTGAATAGGTTTCAAGCATACTCCGACCCGGAGACGAGATTCCCCAGAGCATGTAGAAGGAAAGTCCTCCGAAAACGTCGTGGTGAAGTCTGCTTTACGTGCTCTGCTAAGACCCTAAAGCCAAAACACATGCCTGTGGTGCTCTCAATCCAAAGCAGGAGATAGTGCGTCGGTCTCTGTCAACCATTCGCAACTTGGCTTGACGGTCGAGCCTGGCCTATGTAAGAGTCTGAAGATATACAGGGGACACTTGGGGTAGTGTACCCCTATTTGGGGGGAAATACTCACATGACACCAGTTGCACATGTGCTTTTTCGTGTCAGAAAGGGCGCCACAATCATGCAGATATTGGAACAAAGACATGCGCTGGCCTTTAGCCAATAGGCATGCCTGCAGACGACTGACGTCACTTGATAAAGTCCTTTCTCTCTTCTATGGCTGCCACAGGTGTCTATAGCCACCAGCATAGAAGTATGGCCCATGTCGCCGAAGTCATAAGTCCCGCGAGGCGGCCTGGTCGACTCACGCTGGCATCATTGCCGGCGCTGGAGGTCGAAGCCGCCGAAGTGCTCGAGCCATCACCATCAGTTCCCGGGCAGGTGAACGGGGCTGCGCATGTCTTGTTGTCCGTGAGAGGCTGAGCTTCAGCGACTTTCCGCCAAGTGGTTGTGCGAGACTCCAAGCCATCAAAAGACCAAATGACCTGGCGTGTTGCATTGCACGTCTCAAACCTGCTGCACTTGCCCTGCTCATTCACCCAGAAGAAATTACATTGGCTCTGCTCAGAACACGCCTGCAGGCAGCTCGCTTCATTGCCCAAGAACTCTTCTGAGTATGCGTTTGCACAGGTGACATTCCACACGTGCTCCGGGACATACGTGCAACTGGCCGGTGAGCCCGCGCAGCTTAAAACGTTGTCTTCACCCGGCGACTGGGGATGCAGGAAACCATATAACGTTTCCTGCCCCGACGTGTACATGCCATACGACACCTTTTGCTCGCGCTCGAACTCACTGAAGATGCGGTCGGTGCAGGACATGATGCTCGTGGTCACCGTGCACCCGGGCAGCCCCACGGTAGCCAGCACGTCCCCGCCCGAATTCTCCAAAGTCACCACAGCTGGCTCGAGCCCGCCGGTTGAGAAAGTGAACTTACCATCGCGACACAAGACACCACGGGCCGATGCGGGAAGGATCGTTGCCGCCGGGAAGACGTACTTGCTGGAAGCATTCTGGCAGGACGGCTCCCCACATAGCACAGACCCAGAGAGGTCCAGAGGGCCCGTACCAAGGTTGGCCAGTTCTACCCAGCCTTGTTCCGTGCAGCCGTCGACATCCAGGTTGGAATACGCTGACAACTCAGCGATGTACACGTCGGATGCGACGCTGCCAAGCACAAGGCTTAGGTAAGTCATGAACGCGCCGTGTGGTGATCCCGCCATGTGTGCTTCGAGGAGGCTCTGCCACGAAACTTCCCGCTGGTGTACTTGGGTGACAATTCACTGCGCGCAACTTACCTGATACAGCTGTTTTAGTGCAATGCACTGCACTGCACTGCGCTAATGACCTGACCGCAGAGACACAAGCCAAGCAAGCAACAACACTCTTATTCAGCCTTGACCACGTCGCTTCGGTCCAGCTTCCAAGGGAACGCGGCGAACTTTGTGGCCACCTACAGATGCAGAAATTTGGGGGATTTAGGATGGGAATGGGGCCGGGAATGGGGCGTAGAAAAGCGGTTCTGCTCCTAACTTCTGAGCCCCCATGGTTTTGCTCGTGCCTTTCCAGGGCCTCGAGTCCACCTTTGGTTGTGGGAGTGCCAGCAAGCACATCCTGCTCATTCTGAGGCTTTCTGGGTTGAACGCCCTGTGCCTGAAGCCCTAAACATCCCGAAGCGAGGTTTTACTCACATCGCCACATTGAAGAACTTGGTTGTCAAACCCCCGGCGGCTGAGTGGCCGCCTCTCGAATCCTGCGACCTTTCATGTGAGATAGCGACACAAGGTAACACGATCTTGGGAGGGCTTGTGACATGGGGGTTGCCGATATGAGGGGTGCCTCATTGGGGTCCTGATTCTGAGGGCAATCCTACCGTTTGAGGGTCCATTATAGGGGCCCCCGATTTTCGCAAACCCCCCTATTTGCTCCCTTCTAGGGGGTCCCTCCTGTTACCCTTTCATAAACCCTGAACCCTGAACCCTGAACCCTAAACCCTAAACCCTAAACCCTAAACCCTACAAAGGCTGTCCTCTGAATGACTCCCTTGGCCTGGACGTCTTGTGCCCCAGTCTCGCGCAGGAACTTGCCCAGGAGCTCCTGCCCCCCCATGTGTTTAGGGTTTAGGGTTTAGGGTTTAGGGTTTAGGGTTTAGGGTTTAGGGTTTAGGGTTTAGGGTTTAGGGTTTAGGGTTTAGGGTTTAGGGTTTAGGGTTTAGGGTTTAGGGTTTAGGGTTTATGGTTTTGGGTTTAGGGTTTATGGTTTAGGGTTTAGGGTTTAGGGTTTAGGGTTTA